CAATGTTGACGTTTTCATCAAATATTAAGCAAAGACATTTGCACATCAGTAATATAGTATATTAATATAATTGTAATACATTGAAAATTATTTCTTTAGATGATGTAATTAAAGAAACATGATGGATTGACATTAGAACTGAACATTTACCATCCGTCCATTGAGCCATTTTCTTATGCTTATCTTTATGAGGGTTGCAGGGCTACTGGAGCATATCCCAAGTGCTATAGGGTGAGAGGCAGTTTCCTGCTTCCTGTACAGAACGTCAGTCTGTCGCAGGGCAAACACAGAGACAGACAGCCATATGCACTCACATGTACACCTATGGAGAAATTAGAATCACCAGTTAACTTAACCCCACTAATTAATGGTTAGTTAGTGGATTGAAATCTGAGACGTTCCATCTTAAATGCACATATTAAACAAATATGTAGGGCTGCTTTCTTCCATTTCAAGAGTCAAGATTGAAGATTCTTTATTTGTCACATGCATAGTTATACGAGAACAACACATAGTGAAATGAAAAGCTCCTTGACTGTGCAAAAAGAGAACTTAATAAACAGTAAGTGAATATGTACAAGGATGACATTCAGTAAGTGAGTGAATTACATACATTAAGTAAATGCATTGAGTGTTTCTTCTTCAGTCACCTTTCTCACTCACTATGTCATAATACACCCTCTTAGCATTGAATCATACTTGTTATTAACCTCTGTCTCTCTTCCACAGCATGTCTTTATCCTGTCTTCCTTCTCTCACCCCAACCAGTTGCAGCAGATGGCTCTGCCCCTCCCTGAGCCTGGTTCTTCCAGAGGTTTCTTCCTGTTAAAAGGGAGTTTTTCCTTCCCACTGTTGTGCTTTCTCAAAGGGGGTCCTATGATTGTTGAGTTTTTCTCTTTATATATTATTGTAGGGTTTACCTTACAATATAAAGTACTTTGACGTGACTGTTGTTGGCGCTGTATGAATAAAATTGAATTGAAAAATAAATTGAAGTACAATACCAGTGGTGTAGTTGGGCACAAACATGTAAAGGCCCCATCTCTATCATGTAAAGCTATACCACCATGGTTCATTTAGTGCTTCTGTTAGCAGAGTTGGACCATAAGTTGATGTTGAAGGGCCCACAGAAGACTAAAAGGTAAACCTTGAATTTTGAAATCTTTGGTATTAAAAGTGGAATGAAAGCATCTTTCTTTACAGAATGCTGTTATGTTTTATGTAGCAATTTACTGATAAGAACCAAAGTAATGTCACAGTTAGTTTGTGTGTGTATTAAACATTCAGCTTAACCTTTACAAGTAAAGGGAAGTACGTCCCACCCTGTGTGTGCAGGGAACCCCTCCTCCTCCTCCTCCGGCTGGCCTCAGCCTCTCAGAAATAATCAGGACTTTCTAACATCCTCCCCTTCCAACAGGCGGTGGGGTTTCAGTCAGGGGGGACGCTGACAGGTGGACTGTCTGAGAGCCCCATCTGATCTGGAAAAAAGGGACTTTCAGTGTCTTCCTCGGTCCGTAGGAAGATCATGGCTCCGCCAAGAATCTGTCGGGAATCTTTTTTGGTGCTTTTACTGCAAATTGTGTTTATTTGCTCCGCTCAGGTGAGAGATAAGCGTAGGTTTTTTTCTCTTCTCTGAACTGCAAACGTTTTTAAAGTCCTAATGTCCTATGTGTTCATGTGGCAGAGCTGATGTGGTATATTTTATAGGTATTTACAACTCAGAAAGGAGCACACTTTACGGTTCCTAACTGTAGTTTTTACAGTATTTCATATACTTGTGTAGCACTTTAAGTAATCTCATTATGAGTTAAATATTCTTCTTTAACTCTGTGCTCTAACTTTAGACATGTAAAAAGCTTTCTGTGGTGGAAACGTAACTACCCTAAAGCAGTTACTGCAAAATGCACGGTACTTTAAGGCTACTGTACTTTAACATGCTGTGTTGATGATTAAATGAAGGATTTCAGTGTTTTTGATTAGGTTTTTCTAAAGTCAGTTCATCCCAGTGATCGCAACTGGCACCAGTGAAGTCCAGAGGGCAGCAGTAATCTGAGCACATGCGGTTACTTAGGTGGAATAATAGGAAACCTGGTTCTGTGACCTAGCCACTCACATCACGCAGACAATGGGACTCTGTGTGAGCTTACCTTCACACCAGCAGCAGCAGCAGCACTGCTTGGTATTTGGAGATGGATTTCAGTTGGAAAAAAAGTAAAAAGTGATTTCTGTGTTTGTTTTACAGAGAGGCCCAGTCGGTCCCAGAGGCCCTCCAGGGCCACCCGGGATAGCTGGAGTGCCCGGAGTGGACGGTATTGATGTGAGTCTGCTTTTTGGTTCTTCTTTTGTACTGAATTTTATTCCAGGATTAATCAGCTCAGTGAACAGTGAAACCAAACAGTAGCTGATGTTCTCCAACAATAACAAAGCTCTGTCTGTCTCTCTGTCTAAATCATGGTATAGTTGTATTTATGCAGGGCTTGTTGACCTTTTTCAGAAGAACTGCCCTACAGAAAAAGAGAAAGTTGATCATCTTAATCTAAAGTGTGCCGTACATTGTGCACTGAAAGTCTGCCTTTTCATTTGGATGCTGGCCTTTCAAATCCACATTTAATGAAATCATTTGATGGTGTCATGATTGCATTGAGCCATTTATCGATCACCTTATAAATGACAATGAAACAAAAAGTTCTATGTATGATGAATGTTTAGTTTTCATTGGATCATCTCCTTCATGTGTCTTCAGGGCGACAGAGGAGAAGACTCTACAGTGACTGGTGCACCAGTGAGTCAGTTTTTGGTTTCTCTTCTCACACGCAGAAGTCTAAGATTAATAAAATCAGTAATGCTGAATCTTCTGCTTCCAGGGACCTGACGGAGAGAATGGCAAAGATGGGACTCCTGGAGCTCCAGGCATCCCAGGGGCAGATGTAAGTAAGACAACATGTCAACACACAAACTGGTAAAGTGTTTGTCCAGCAGTCATGTTTTATAGCTTAATCATTCGCCGTGTGGTCTCTATAGTCCAAACCAAAATAAAAGACTTTATTAAGTTCTGAATTCACCAGCTAACCTGATCCAGTAGGTCTTAAATTCTCCAATGCGATAATGTATTAAGTGTCCGTAAGATCTGAGCCACATGACTTAAGACATTCAGATCTGCTGCTGTAGGAGCAGTTTGTATTGGCCCCAGCTGAGCAAAAGTGTAGAGCAAAAAGAAACGTCCCTTGAATAAATCAATCTGTTTATTTAGGGTTGAGTCTCAAATAGCGTACTGACAGAAACAGGGGTCTTTTTGTGCACTACTCAAGGAGTTCAGTGAACTCAGCTGCCCAGAGATGGCTGACCGAAGGCTGTACGCTGGGAAAGATGGTGCAGAATGGTCACAGTGTGTTTGCTGTCCTCTATGTGGTGCTGGTACAGAGAACAGACTGACGGACTCAGAGTTTTATATGTACTGAATTCTTTTAGCAAGCCTGCACAACCACTCTGTGATTAATTAAAAACAAAAGTTACACCAATTTCCTTTACTTATAGAAGCAGAATATAGACTTTAATAACAAACTAAATGGAAATTTGCTGAGATTTTGACCTTCAGCTTTGAGACAGAAGGAACCTTTTGTCACAGACTGAATGTGTTGACACATTTTATTTCTTAACCTATGCCTTTGACCAAGTGGGGAGTGTTTTGAATGTTGTTAATAAGGAAGGCAGTCAGCGGAGGAGCTAAAGAATTTAAAAACCCTCAACCCGATATCAGACCTATTTCAGCCTCATGTGTCATAATCTGGAGCAATCATCCCTCGTGTTTTCTAGCTGTTCCTTCAGCCTGTGGTTCTTGTCAGTCTCCAGGCTCCTGCTACTCTGAGCTGGACTGTCTCGGTGCCATCTTTGACCAACCTGCAACATGGCTTCTGATGGCTGTGATAGCTTTCTGCCTTTGTGCTTATCGGTGGTTCTCGTGCCACTATGATCAGAGCCCTTATGCTATCCCCAAGGAACTTGTATCTTGATTGTATATCTCATGAATGGCTTACACATATATTTAACATTTCTTTTCTCTTTTTGTCAATGTTATTTATCGTCTGCTATCTCAGACTCTCTTCTCGCAGTTCATCTCAGGGTGCCATCCCCCTGATCTTTTCATTATAGCTCTAACTACCGGTAATCCTCTCTTTGCTGCCTTCATGAAGTGTGATGAGTTTTTGACATCAGTGGTATCTGTCTCCTGCTTTGGCCAGCTCATTATTTATTAATAATAATAATGGATTGGATTTAT